CCACAGACCGTGACAGAGAACCTGGGTACTCATCACAGACCGTGATAGAGAGCTCGGGTACCCATCACAGACCGTGACAGAGAACATGGGTACCGATTACAGACCGTGGCAGAGAACCTCAGTACCCATCATAGACCGTGACAGAGAATCCCCGATATTCATCACAGACCGTGACAGAGAACCCGAGTACCCATCACAGACCGTGACAGAGAAACTGTAGTTGTAAAGCATCAGATATACGGTCAACTACAAATGTGTTGTAAGGAAATGGAACAAAAGGATTTCCATTTAATTAGTAACAATAGGTCCATCGTGTTTCACATTTTTAATCCCGCAAGGGATTGCGCTAACAGCTTTTCTAATAGTGAACATTGGTTCTTCTGAATTTTCCATGACTAATCGATTCGTTCACATTTCAAACATATAATTTCGAGGTAGTTTTTAAAAAACTGAAAACTTTTTTCGGAAAACATATTTTCAAGAACAAATATATATAAGATTTAAAACTAAGTCGAATCTGGTTTGTTTTATCGACAGGTTTGGCGGTTGGTGAAATTCCGTCCTTGAAGACCCAAGGAACATTATGGCGTTCCCATTCATTATACAATAAATTTTCAGACTATGAAATAATGCGGATTCAATTTTATCTTTTCTTCAATGCTTTTCCTTGTTTTAAATTTTGTCAATATCTAAATTCATGGTTGCTTCCTCAGTCGTATATCAACTTACAAAAGGACGAAAATGCAGACGCGATGGGCCCAGTTGGGAAATTATGGAAATATACAAATAAACATTTTTTCAACGAACAAATTCAGGATAACGTCAAACCTAAAAAAAAATCTTCAAACTCAAAGGAAGACAAAGACGCTGAAAATGTGGCCAAGAATTAGTCACAATGACGATTCTACTTGTAGAAAAATTGATGAAAAAACAATATTCTTAAATAAAACTATTCTTCGAACATGTTTTGTCCTAAATTTAATCCTCTGCTCTTTTACTTCGATTGTATTGTGTTATTCTCGGATTATTACGATGTATATTCACCTCGTAGACCTTAAGACCGACGGTGTAAACCTATATTTCAATCTCTTATTTCTCACGTTCATACTCTTCAGATAGCCTTTACTTCATGTTATTCAAAAACAAATAATGTTTATCACATATGTATTGTATTATTTTAAACACATTTCTAGAAAAATTTCTAAGGAATCTGTTCAAAGAAAATTCTATCACGCGAAAAAGACACAAAATGCATACATGTGAAACTTGCAACTTGAATTCAATTATTGAAAAGGGTGTGGGTGTGGATGTGGGTGTGCGTGGGGTGTGGTTGTGGGTGTGGGTGTGTGCGTGTGGGTGGGGTGTGGGTGGGTGTGGGTGTGGGTGTGGGTGGGTGTGGGTGTGGGTGGATGTGGGTGAGAATGAAGAGAAGAACCACACTCACAGCCACTTCCACATCCACACCCACACCCACCCACACTCACATCCACACCACACCCACACCCCACACCCACCACCCACCACCACACCCACCTACACCCCACCCACACCCCACACCCACACACCCACACCCATCCACACCCACACCCACAACCACACCCACAACCACACCCTCCCATACCCATCCACACCCACACCCTCCCACACCCCACACCCACACCCACACCCACCTACACTCACCCACACCCATCTACACCCACACCCACCTACACCCACACCCACCTACACCCACCCACACCCACACCCCACACTCACACCCACCCACACCCACACCCTACACTCACACCCACACCCCACACTCACACCCACACCCACACCCCGATAAATATTCATTGTAAACCCATTGATATTGTTCGATATTAGTTATTATTTTCTAACGGGAATAAAGATTGATGTATTGACAATGATTAACAAAAGATTAATCGCAATCCAACAAGAAAATAATTTGTTTAAATAAAGAACAAGAGTAAAAAGGTGACATGAAAAATTGCTAATAAAAAGATTTCTCTACTGACTACTCAGAAATTTTCAAAAGTATTGTCAATGTTTATTTCTATGTTTGTCAAAACGTCTAATATGTGTTTTTACCGAGAGATTATCATGATAACATCTTTGATAACATTTTTTTAACTTCATTTTTGATTATTGTTCCAATTGTTTCAGGTCAAGTATCGATTAATTTGTGATATTCAACATTTTAAATTAAATCTAGTTTGAATTACGTCATTACAGTAATTTTTTATACTGATAGAGCATAACATTCTGAAAAAGTTGCCATAATCCTTACTATTTTAGTACTGATAAATCCTATTTTCGATGCTCTTTAATTTACTATAAAATTTGTTTTTTTGGTACTATCTGAAACTACAGTGTTACCTTTTGGGAAGAAAATTTTTCGCAAATCTTTAAATATAGCGGTAAAAAGATGAGAATTCTGTCTTAATATTTCTTATGAATTGCTTCAATCAATGTTAACTTATATGATTTCTAGTTTGACATACTTATCTTTAGATGAAAACAAAAATACACTGACAAAGTGAAAATCGAGAACACAAAATCCTGTTGTGAAAATAAAGTCTTGATAACGTAATATTTATATAATTGTTATGTTCAGTACGTGGCATTTCAATATAAGTTAAATTCGAGTTAATCAATGAATATTGTTTAAAAAAATGTCGTGCAATTGGAACAGGCAATGCTGAATCCATATCACCTTTGATTTATAAAATATAATTATTTAATATTATTAGAATAAAAAAAAAAAAGAAAAAAATTGAATAGATACCATGTAATAATAGAACCGGTAATTTAGTTTTTTTTCTTGGATGTTTTCTATAATATTGATCCGTTGGATGACCTAATATTTGAGTTAATTGCATAGGACAATAAATTTCAGGCATAACCTGTGTTGAAGTAAATGTATTCATTGATGATTCTTTTAAATAATCACATGTTGGATTTTTTTTCTTGAGGGTTTAAAGGAGACCATAATTCAGCAAAATTATTATTGAATTCAACTAATAATGCATATCCTGGTGCACCATCTTCAACTGGTGGTTGTGTTACATTTATAAAATGTTTTAAAATATTTTGATCATCAAAATTACATCGATTTATTCGATAGATTAATGCGGGAAAAAGTTCCATCATATTTTGATAAAATATATATGACATCTAAATAAATAGATTTTATTTAATAAAAAAAAAGTAATTTATTTTTCTCTTTTATACTTTTTTAGCAATATCGTCTGTTGTTATATTTAATAAATAAAGACAAGATGAATTTGTTTGAAAATCTTCATTCATTTTATAAGTATAAAGTGCACGCATTGGATTTTTATCTTCAAAATATTTTGCACAACCTTGTTCATCTTGTGAACAACATGTAAATAAATCTAAAAAAATATAATTTAAATATTTATCACCATGAATTAATCGTGTTATATCAGTTGGTAATACAAAATCAAATATAACAGCATCAACTTGTTCATTATCTTCAGTTATATGAAGATATCGTTGTAATGGATAAGTTCCTTGACTTGATCCCATTAAAATTACACGTTGAGTAGTATTTAAATATTGATGGTTATTTCCAATAATTACTTTAAGAATAGATTCTAAATCGAATGTAGTATCTGTAAATGTATTTTGTTTTAAACAATATTTATATTCCCTAATATATGATAAACAAGCTGTAAAATTTTTAACTATTGATGTTGGATATTCTAATAAACTACTTTTACCAACACCACGTTTATCTGTAACATATATTGATATTGAACCATTTAATGCACTAACAACACTGACGGCTTCGAATTCTAAAGTTGATACTGGAGCGCCACCACCACCTATCAAATTAACTTAATTAAACATTTATTATGATATATGATATTAAAACTACCTGGTATTCTCCATAAATGATGAGAAATATTTTCATATCTGAGCAGAAAACAGCGTTTAACAAATATTTCAATAGGTTATGTACATTTTGTTAAATTAGTTTAATTCCAATTAATAGGAACATTTATAAAAACATTTAAATATATATTATATATAGAAAACACATTAAATGAAATATACTCCATCGGAAAAAAACAGAATAATTTGACCAATTTGCATTGATAATCGGCCATGTATATAAAGGAATATAACTTTGACCATCGATATTACTTAAAAATATTTTAAATAAAACTATAATTATCGATAGAAACCATTTTATAATATGCCAATGCATCGTTATCGACTGATTAGATTTTATATGGCTCTCTTCTTATATGTATATAGTTGTTCTTTTAATAAAAAATGTAAAATAATCTTTTGTTTGTCAAAAAAAGCTGTGTCTTACTGATAGCAACGATTCAAAAAGACAAATCCTTGTTTAAATATAATCATTGACGCATACTTTGATAACAAATAACAACATAAAGAGTCAATATTACTTTTTTTCGACGTTAAATCAATATGTTTATCTTCAATTAAAAATCAACTAAAATAGATTTGTTTTAACTTATGCCTTTTTTATATTTGCTAATGATCAATTTAAAAAAAAAAGATTCACTTTTAAATGATAATATTCCTGAATACTCTTTTTAAAAAAAAGATAAAATATGGTTTCTCGCATTAAAATTTTTTCACAGTTTTAACTGAAACAATCAGATAAACAAAACTTTTGTGAAACACCATCTTAAAGGAGTAATAAAGTATAAAGATTAGAAATTTTCGACCTTATTTCATTTGTCGAAGATTAATCAAAACGAGGGTGAAAACAATGCGTAGCCATATTCTGTTTCACATTTTAATTCAGCACGAATTACGCTAACAGCTTTTTCAACATAGTTGAAAAAAATTCGTTTGAAAAAAAAACGTAATATTTAACATAAATATAATCTAATCGTAAATTTTACACGAAAACTAAATATCAATCGTTCTTTAGTAGTTCGATCATTGGATTATCTATGTTCTATGACAATATCTGATTAGGTAATAGTATCACTGGGTCATCTTATTTGATATGTATGATGAAAAAAATGTGTTCGTTTCGTTTTACTATTTGTAGTTTGTTTAGGAAACAAATAAAAATAGATAAAGATCTATCGTTTTGTGCCCTGTTTGATATGAATTTCGTTCTGATACATGAAGTATAGGAAGTAAACTTAAGTAGTCTTCTGATGTTGTTGATTAATAAAATAAAGATTCATTTCTTCTAAAATCTTAGCTAAATGATGTAATTGAATAGTCAATATCATATATAAGTTATTATTTTGCCATTTAATTATTTAAAATCTGATAGACTTTATGTTTTAAGCAATTTATCAATAATACTTCGATTTATTGAGGAGGAAACCTTTTCTTCAAGTTATTATTCAGCTTATAAAACGTAAATGATACCATAGAAGTTTATGTATTTTCTTTTTTATTCTGTAGAAGATGAGGATGTTTTGCTTTTCTTTCTTTTAGTTGAAATTCAAGTGTTTCCTAATTATAAAGCATTAACAATGCCTTTAACACTGCAATTAAAGGGTCAATTAATAATACTTCATATTGATGATCAATATACGTATGTACCAAAATTTATGCAAGAAAGCTGTTGTCAATAATGAAGTAACATTAGAAAAATCCATGAATCTGATATCGGAATTTTTAAAAATACGTATCTGAAGAAAATGGTTTGGAATGATTTTTCCAAATTTTTATCAATGTTGACAAAGCAAATTGTTCAAGTTATTACCAAGATACAACTAAAAATACACTAGGTTTTTTTTGTCAAGGCGAACTCAGGGTCTGGCTGTGGATGTGCGTGCGGGTGAGTGTCAGTCTTC